AGTCTAGGCAGTGTCCAAAATGAAATATCCATTGAGAGAAAGAAATTACTAATTATACTTCAATGGATATGGACAGCTAGGTCTGTGTGTAACCTTGGTGCTGGAACTTCCTGACCTTTAGCTGGAAATCCATAATATGAACAATCTTAAGGGAATATCTGTAAACAAGAATTACCACACCACTTATTTTTTTAAATTTTATTATGAAAGACCTCACTGTCTTTCCTCATAAGTGTTTAGTGCCACATGTTTAGTGGAAACATGTCTGGCAGTGCTGATCTGCAGTGTGTAAGTGAGCTGCCTGCATGCTGATGTTATCTCTGTTTCTATTGTAAGGTACTGCAGCTGTGACTCATGTTTCTGCATAAATATTTAAATCATGATTTCAACATTTTCATTTTGACAATAATGTGCCAAATGCTGCTGTGATAGTTTCAACAGATTTTGAAAAGCAAGTGGGAATAACTGATTGGCTTTCTTTAATGAAGCTTTAATGAACTCTTCCAACAATTTCAGATATATCAAGGATATTCTGTAAACCAGTGTCATCCTACTGCAAGGACCTTTAACCATCCTGTTGCTTGTTATATTGATCTACTATTGTGTTACACTGTGTTCTGAACTGCTAAAATCCAGGTGTTTTTTTTCTACCTTTCCCAAGTGCTTACCTCACACACTGAATAATAAAACCCTACCTGCATATTCCAATGTACAGCATAGCTCATCTGCACATCAGCTGTGACTCAGTATTTCACATCCTCATGAATAAGCAAATGACCTATTTCAAGATTAGCAAATAAAATCTTTCAGCACAATTATGTTTCATTTAATTTAATCATTAATTATATTAACATGAATTGTGCTTAGCATTGCTGAATGTTGCTTAACATTTCCAAGTTTGACAAACCCTGCCTTGTGTGCAGTTCTTTGATGATGCGATATCAGAAGTCAAACAAAAAAGTCTGGTAAGAGTCAAAGTAATGATGGCATGGTCCAAAATGTGTCACTGGGTATGGCAGCCCCTGACTTGAGCTGAAATCCAAAGCAAGACAAGGTGTAATTTGTTTTCTTTAAGGTTTATGCATTAGAGTCACAGGATAGAGGCACCATGCTGCACTTGAAGTGGTCTGCACCTTTTAGAGGACTAGAGTCCGCATAAAACCAGCTTGTGTTGTTGATACATACCTATTTCCTCGTGGGGGGACTTAAAAACACATGTCTTGAAGTTTAGCTGAGAACAAAATTATAGTTACGGTCTTGTATTTTCACAGTGACATGATTCTTGATTCTCCCCTTTTCTTCTTTTTCCTTAAAAACCTCCCAAAAATGGAAAATACCTGATGCCTCCAGTATCTCTACTGTGAGATCTCTAAAAGCATTTCATTTTGCTGAAGCACTTTCTTCTGCTGAAGAGTCAGTTCTTCAGAATTGTACAACAGAAGAATCAATTGCCCTTGAGAAATCAAGGTTGACAAGCTGCAGTGGTACATTCCTTTCCCAAAAATGCTGTCCACAGAAGACTTGAAGTTAGAGTCTAGTTATAAGCTGATAGAGTTTGAAGCAGTTTACACAGTTTTTCAAGTAACCTTCCTTCATACTGAAGCAGCACCCGACTTTAGTGTTTGCGGAAGAAAGTATTTTAATACTGAAACATCATGCAGGGAAGGATATTAATATTTGTGTTATGTACCCTCTCAACTGACTCCTGGTGTTCCAGAGTGAGAAGTAATAACAAAGGGATTTCTGTGCTCATGAAAGCTAATGAGTTCATGAATCTGTATCAAACAATAAGCTCTGTGGCAACATTTTTAGCAGTGGCTCCACCTGCAAGACAACCTATGCAAGAAGGAGGGATAGCACTGAAAGCTTAGCAAAAATAAATAGCTGAAGCGACATAGCCCCTACTCCTGAAGGTGTTTATGAGTATCAAAGGAACTGTGGGGGCTGTTGAGCACATTAACTCATCCTCTTGCCAAAACAAACAGAATACAACTGCAACTGGCTGTAGTGGTGGGAGGGAAAATGCTTGTTCTAGATAGTGACAACTGATGGCCAGAGCCATCCTGTCTGTTTTCTAGTTGCACAAGACCTAGGGAGTGTGTCGGGAGATCAGGAAGCTGGAGCTGCTGGAGCCTCAGTTCTCAGCATGGTCCTGAAGAACTGAAAAGGAACTGTGCGGATCCCTCCAGCTGAAGTGGATGTACTTTGAAGGATAGTCAGAGAAGGAACTCCCTGGAGCAGCAGCCCATAGATCTGAAGGAAAAAAACACTACAGAAAAAAAATTATTACTCCCATACTGATGTCTTCCTGTTACAAAAAATTAAAGAACCCATCCTTTTAGGTTTTGCTAACAGCAATTTAACTGTGATGTCTTTGGAAACACATTATCCCATGCTTGCCTTCTAGGCTCCTTTGAACCACCTAGTGGTGTAATTCCCTATGAAAAATAGGGTGTTAGATTAAAGCAAGCAGAAATCTGAAAAAGAGTAATTTTAATTAAACTCCCACTGCAACTGCTGAAGAGAATGTCTCTCAGGAGTAAACCAAGCAAGATAAGCAGCCCACGCAGTTGGGCTGACTCTTCCAAAGCAAATACATACACAGGGTAACACAGTGACACTGCCAGCTGAAGAATGTTGAAATACAACAGTGGGTGACAGCTGGTTCATACAAACTGAACTGGTTTTGTCCAAATAAACCAGCATGGACTTTCCCCTAGCCTTTGTTCTGAGCTGGCTCAAGGCTCCAGCCTGTGCTGGGGTTCAGCTGTGGCTGATCTAACCAGCCCCACAGAGGGACCAAGGCAGGAGGGCACCTCTGTCTGGGCCAACCCTCTGCTCAGAGCAGGCTCAGAGAGATCAGGGCTGTGTCCCATCAGGTTTTGCATATCTTGGATGAGATCCTACCTTTCTGAGCAACCTGCTCCCTTGTGTGACCATCCTCAGAGTAAAACATTGTTTTCTTTTGTTTGAATGAGATTTCCTGTGCTCACTTGTGTCCTTTATCTCTTGTTCTATCACTGGGCATCACTGAGAAGGGTCTGGCTTTCAGTCCCTGTGCCAGGAATTTATATCTGAGCTCTCTCCAAGTTGAATATGCCCAGGCATCTCAACTTCTCACCCATGACAAATGCTCTAACACGTCATCCATCTCTGTGGCCTGGCACAGGTCTCCCTCTGTTATGTCTGTGTCTATCTCATCCTGGCAGTCCCAGAGCAGGATGCAGCATTCCAGGTACCACAGAATCATGGAATGCTTTGGGCTGGAAGGGATCCTAAAGATGACATAGTTCTGGCTGCTCTGCCATGGCCAGGAACATTTTCCACTAGACCAGGTTGCTCAAAGCCCCATCCAACATGGCACTGAACATTTCTGGGGTGGGGCACCCACGGGTTCTGTGGGCAGCAGCTGTGTCTGAGCAGGGCTGAGTGAAGGATCCCTCCCCTGCCTGCTGCTGGTGCTCTGCCTGACCCAGCCCGAGGTGCTCTTTGCCTTCTTTGTCTGGTTGCTGGAAACAAGGGTTCAACTTGGTGTCCACCAGGAGCCCCCAGGGCCTGTCCTGCAGAGCTGCTTCCCAGGGTTTGCCCCTCCTGGGGTAGGACCTGGCACTTCCCCTTGCAGAGCTCCCTAAGGTCCCTGCCAGCCCACTTCTCCACCCTGCAGAGATCCCCCAGGACAAATAATTCCAGCAGTGCCCCTGTGCCACTTCCCAGCTTTAAAGGACTGCCATTCATTTGCCCATCTTCATCTCCATGATTGATGAGTACTGCTTCCATAAATTCCAGTAATTTATATAAAAAATATATATAGCATTAAAAACCCATACATGTACATGCAGCAATCATAGTGGGCCCAGCTACAGCTGATAAAGGCACAGCATTCCAAGAGCTGATAGGGCTCTTTAGATGGAAAGATTAGAGCTTGGATGCTGACATGGATATGAAGAAGCTTGCTTATACTGCACAGAGTCCCAGTAATAGACATTGTATTAGCTTTTGTTGAAAAAAATATTTATAAGCTTCTGAAACTAATTAAATTAATAAAATTGCAATCTCACAGTAGTCCAGCTTGATGAGTCATGAAATATGAGTACACTCCTGTGCAGGGCAGCTAAGGGCAAGGCTGCAATTCTGCTGTGTGAAAGGAAGACACTGGAGTCTCATGGGCAGAGAGAGAAGCCTGATATTGAGTGATAAGTGTTTGTGTGCTGATGTGAAACTCAAATTTTTGTTTCCAGGGTGTGTGTTGGTGTGTGTTTTGTTTCTGACACACACAACTGATTTCCATAGAGGAGACTAAAGATTTGTAAAGACTAAGGATTTGTAAAGGCAATGGATGAAGGCCATAGCCTTGGATAATCATGGAGCACTGGATGTGTAGAAGGCAGCTGGAAGCCACAAAGAGACAGAGTAAGAAGAGTAAGAATCCAGCAGGTGCACTCTCTAAATGCACTTAAAGAACACTTTAAAACCCCATCAGATATCCCCCATGCTCCTTTTGTAAAATAACAGAAGCATTTTTTGCTCCCAGCTACCACCCAGCAATGTTTGCTATTTCATGAACATTTCTCCCCACAGCTCACAAAGGCTTTTGAATCTGTAGCAATTGCCAGACCATGGCATAAGACCAAAACCTGTTTGGTGCATTGGCCCCACCCCACCTCTGCATCAAACCTGTACTACAACCATGTTCCTTTCTGTTGTTTTACTTGTGTTTTCCTGCTTTTTCCTGAACAAGGAGGGACTTGAAGAAATGTAATTTCTAATCCAGTCCTTGAGTCCTTGCATCACTGGAGCAGAATGCACAATTGCATGTATTTCACCTGTATATTTGAGCAACTTAAAGCATGTCTCAGAGTGGCTGCTTTACATAAAATCAGTGTATACTCGTGCCTCTTGTTTTATATTATTTTTATAATTATTGTCACTAATATAAATATTTTAATATTAGTGACAATGTGTCTGAAAGATGATGTGCAAGAATAAACTGACACCTTCCATCAATTAATTTATGGTACTTTAATACCAAGTTAATGCATTTCTCAATTAAGAATTTATAAACTGGTAATTCATAAAAAAAAAAATAAATCACAGCTTCAGAAAAAGCTAACTTTAACAGTTTGTCCCCTCCCCGCCAACAAACAGTTTACAATAAATTTCAACTATGTTGGTAGAAAGTTAACAGTGGTGAAACTCTTAAAAAACATTTGCAACAGCAATTGAAAATAAAATAATGATTTTTACTCAGTGAAAAATTAATAGGAATTGTGTTTCCCAGTAAAAGATAAGTCAGAAAAGCAGCAAAAATTCCCTCTCCTACTTGTCAGGTACAAGCTTTGCCCTGCCACATTTATCATAGGCAAAGGCCACACTTCAGCATTATTCGTTCCCAGGTCCAGCACTTCAGTGGTTTTGGCAAGACTCAGAGGTTGTATTCCGAAGTCCAGAGGTTGAGGTGTGTGCTGCCCCTGCTCCCTGTGCTCCACAGCTGCTCCATTCCTCTTCCTCAGGGTACAGTGGGATCAGAAACAGCTCAGAGTAAAGGTAAGGAATATGAGATTTTTTCTATGGGATCACATTCTTTTTTTACTCTTCACCTCTCCAATACAAACTGGAAACACCAGAAATTTTGGCTGTCACGCTTCACATGTGAGTGTTTACAGGAGAGACAGGATTTGAAGGATGCTGTTATATTTTCACTTGTATACAAAATCCCTTCTCTCTGCTGAAGTTATACATGCAACCACAGGACAAAAAAGTGTTCCATCTCTATCTTCTAAGTTAAAAGTCACATTTTCAAAAGTCATTGCACTTGACAATAAAAAGGCAATTAATATGCATTTGATATTAACTATATTGTACAGACCTGAACTTCTGTGCAATTCATTGCTTCAGACATATAACATCCTTTTAAAAACTAAGCCTCTAATCAAAGAAAAACTTTGTTAAAGACAAAAATCTTTAAGAACAAATGCACACAAAAAACCCCTCCCTTTAACTCCTAGTGCATTTAAACACATCTTTGAAATTCTCTGTGTTGTTCCCACATTTAACCTTGCTGCCATTCCATACTGGTCTAACATAACTACACAAGAACACCTTGTCCTTGACCTAACCAATAAGGCTGGCATTTAGGATGCTGTTGGTACAAACAGGAAAGCCAAAGATAAGATTATTACCTCACTCCTTTCATGTGGAAAACAAAGGATTTCAAAGTGGATGGGATTCAGCTGTCACCATTGTCTGTAAATTCCAGTAGCCCATTTCAGGTGCCAGTACTTAGTCTACTGAGTCAGGGTTTTGGATTGTACCAGCATATTTTGCAACAACTTGCAGTTAAAACTATGGACAAGGAAACAGAAAGGGAGATTTTGGTCCCTGAGATATACTAAATGAAATCAAGAACTAAAGCACTGATATTTAGTTTGGAGTGGACCCTCTTCAATGAAAACTAAGTTAGCTTCAACTTTCTAAAGTTTAACAAATAGTCACTTAAGCAGGATGACAGGATATATGCAGTATTGGTCAAGGAAAGTGCACTGTCCAGAGTAGTTTGAAAAGTTATCAGTTGCTGAGTTATCAAGCAGCTGTCCTGTCAATAGCATGCTGTACCAAACTTGTCTTTCCAAGCTAGCCCAAAACCACAGGATGAAACATGGCCTTAACCAAAACACTATTTTCTCTTATCTCTTTAAAGGTACAGCTACAGAATTTAGTGTCATAAATACTTACGATGGGCCAAGTGACTTCATGTGTCAGAACCAAACCCAACTTTTTAACCTTGCAACTGTGTGTTTCAGCAATACTCTGTGGACCATAGCAGCAAACTTCTCATGGCCAAAACAGAGGCAATGTGTGCTATGGTTATCCATCTTGGGCTAGTGTTCAAAAGGTTTGTACCATGGAAGATGTTTCACACCAGTGGCAACTACAATAAAACATCTTTGGCAACCATTGGCATATGAAAAGTAATTCACAGCAGCTGGAAGAATTGTAGGATGTTAATAAGGTTCCATAGTGCATCATTAACTTTCTGAAGTATGTTGCATGAAGTACCAAACTCCTGAAAAGGACAGCTAAACATCTGCCATCATTACCTCAGAGACTGCAGGGTTTTGTCATACCACTTTCTCAGACAAAGCTAGGGCTTGTGAGATTTTAGAGGATGATGTGAGATCATCCACACAAAGGCTTCCAGTGCAGTTGGAGCTGATTTGGGTAAGGGAACAGAGTAATGAAGGGCTGAAGACTGAATTTTCAGTGCACCACAGGGAAGTTATGCAGAGACTGGTGACAGATGGATTCGTGAATATATTTAACCACAAAAGCAGCATAATCACGTTGGTGGTGGAATCTCTTCAGACAACAAAACAAACCGAAACAAAAAATCAGCTGCCTCCGGTGAGTCCACGAAGTAGCCTCATTCACCTTAAATAAAAAATGTGTGTATTAGGAATACAGAACTTATTTTAAAACATTAGTAACACTCTATAACACAACTGAGCTATAAGAGGAATTCAGTAAAACCAACTTTTGTTTCCAACTACTGCAATTATAAATTAGATTTATCTTGTGACACCAGATAAGCCAGCTCTTAAGTGTGTGGGATGTGTACAGTAGGGGGAGCAGAGAGCACGCTACTAAGATGGGTAAATTTTTAACAAGTAGAAGGAATGAAAGAAGGTAATTTAAGCTTATTTTCTTCTAAATATGAGTTCAACTTTCAGAAATTTGGAAAATATTATTGCAACTATCTTGCAGAATTGCACAGTGATCCCTATATATAAATTAGTATGCAATTTGGCAGTAACAATCACAGCAAAAGAAACTAAAAAGAAAAACCAGAATCTTACAAAAAAAAAAAAAAAACCACAGGGTATTTAAGCAGGGACAATATAGTTTTGCTGATCACTTCTGATGTCTCCTTTTGTGAGAATAAAGTCAACTTTATACCCCAGATGCCTCTTAAGACCCCATATATAGCCAATCCCAACTATACCTCACTTGAGAGATGCCAATTTAAGCAATAAATGCCAGAAAAACATTTATTAAAATTTGAATCTAATAAAATATAGGATCATTTTCAGTTAACTCCTACCCAACCCCTGCAAAAACAAAAGAAAAAAAAACCAAAAAAAACCCCCAAAAATCACAAACCCAAAAATCTACAGCTATGGAATACATTGTAATCTCTCTGATGTCCACTTCCAAAACAAGTGTGAAAAACTTAAAAATAATCTTAGCATAAGGACTCCAATTGTTATATGCACCTTGCTTCAATAGTGAAAAATACCATCCATTTCTCTCCAGCCGAAAAGAATTAAGATTATAAAATAAGGTACAAGATTATGATTTTGATGATATTATGATATTATATCATTAATAGAGTATTGTTCAGTCATCAGGTGCTACATGAAAAGGCAGCTTAGCAGTTCTGTAAATGGGGTTTTGCTATGCTAGTGTTCTCTATTCTGGCACAGCAGATTTTTCCTTCACATTTCAGTAGCTGTAAAATCATGGCCCTGCCCTAGAGAGACACGTTCAACATCAGCACTGCTGCCATGTGAGACTTACTGCTGTTTCAGCACATGAAGGATGAATTCAATCCTCCCTAAATTCAATCCTCAAACCTACTACTCTGACGACTGCATTGGAGTTACAGTGTTTCACTAAAATATAAAATGTAACAAACTAATTAAATGGAATTTCTGCACTGGATTAGAAGGAACACCTGGTCAAAAAGCCTTTTAAAAGCAAAAGGATATTTACCAGAGCAGGGTCTAAGTTGCTTATTTGTTCATTTATCATTGATTTTCCATATTATTTTAAGTACCATCTATGTGGTGAAGCACCTGACCTGGAATTTATATTCATTTATATTCATATTACTTTGTTCAGCTTGTTAAAAATTTACCCACTTATTCACAGCTGGCTTTATTTTATTCTTCATAATATAGATATTTCTCACTCACAGATACATTCCAGAGTTAGTAAATAACTGAAAATCCATTTGTTCATTTTGATTTTTGCCTAGCACTTGTTTAGCTTGATTTTAGTTCTCCTACAAGCTGCAACCAATCTCTTCCATGCAAGGAAAATTGAATAGTTAAATCAGGCTGAATGAGTAGAAACAAAATACAAACACATCACCACAGGAACATGCTAGAGTCCTCAATTGCCTGTTTAATTAACACTTCCTTGCTTATCCCTCCAAAACCAAAATAAAAAAAGAAAACTAAACAATCCCCAAGTTTACTGAGCAGCAGCAATGCCTATACTGTAAAACAGTATCTCTGCAATGAAATTCTGAGATAAGGAATAAATGACATCATCAAACAAACTTCCTTTTCTTCCTGTAATAATATCTTTATGAAGATATATACTTACTTCTGGCATAAGTAACTGTCATCTACATTAAGAGATTTCTTTTAGAATAACTTGCACATTAGCAGGCTGAAGATGCATCTTCATTGCATATGCACACAGTCCCTTCCTGGTTTTACAGTTAAGCCTTTAAGGGTCTCTTCTTTTTAGACTAAACTAATTAACTTATCCATCAAGAGCAAAATACAAGAAGAACATTTTATAGATTCAGTAGATGAAGATTTCTATCAATACAATAGTTTCAAGGGGTCCAGAAAAATCAAATGGGTGCATGAAGCCTTTCAGGGACAGAAGAAATCGTTTTCACTTAATTTAAACAAGGTCCTCAAAATAATTAAGAACAGTGCAAGAAGAAACGCAGGATAAAGGATGTAACCTTATTCTATCTGCCATGAACACTGTAAAGCAGGCAATGCATAACTCTGCTAGGCTGCTCCAACCTGTATCCCTTTTATAAACTGTGCAATCTGTACAGACAGACAGAGTCCAAGGTTTCATGTGCATCCAACAAGTACAAATTAAATGGCACATGAGGATGGATCTGAGATGGCATTCCCTTGGCTGCCTTAGGCACACTATGTCTGATTCACACCCTCAAACGTTTGTGTGCATGAACAACAAAAAGCATCAGTCATTTTTGCTAGAAACAGACAGATGGAATACAAAAAACCCCAAAACTTAAAATAGTGTAGACAGTTTTTAAAGCGATCTAATTCAAATAATAACTAACCTGAGAGGTACTTTGCTCCGATTAACATTAGCATGCTACTCATAACAAAAACACTGAAAGGCAGACTAGAGAAGATACTACTGTCACCTGATGGCATCCAGGGATGGTGTTTCCAGTCAAGCAAATCAAAAGAGAAATATATATATAAATTGCAGCATATGTGTTAAATATATATGAAAAGCAAAAAGTAACAAATGTAGTGACATTGGCAGAAGAACTAAAAAAATATTTTGCATAAACCCCATAATAATTAAAAATAGGTTCTCTCTGTAAGAGTTCAAGTCCAAATTTCACTATCAGCACAATCCAGGTTCAGCCCATTTCTAGTATACTCCAATCCCAACCTAGCCCTAAAGTATCAAAGAACTAAGGAAAATAACATTTGCCCCCCAGGTGTTAGACCAGAAAAATCACTAAATTAAGTTTTGATAAACATATCTCTTCACATAAACTGAAGAAAAACCATCTAGATTTATTTACTGCAAGGCAGAATTTTTTATCCTAGTAAGATAAGCATCAGGTTAGATGTAAGGGTACTAAATCATAAAGGTCAATACTGAAGGAAATCATATTGCTCATGTTAATTCACCTGTTTCCCTTCCCAATAGCCTTGGCAGAATTGCTTGTAAACCACAGTGTTAAGTAAAATATTTAAACCAACATATAGGATGGCAAAAGGAATATTTTAGCTTTCAAGAAGGAAGTGGCCACATGCAGCTTGAGGGCTCCAACTGTGGATTATGGATTGTGAAGGGAGTTTAAATTTTGAGGATTCTTTACTTAATACTTTTCATTTTAATAGTTTTTCCAATAAAAGGGAAATTAAATATAATTGATAAAGCCCATAAATTATATGTTATATTATTACTCAGGACTAAAAATTTATCCCAAAATAGTACTAAAATAAACATTCAAATTATAGATCACAGGAAGACTGCAGGCTTAATTAATTCAAACATGACAGATGAGAAAGCCCTCTACTACAGAAGAAAATTCTTGTTCAGTCCCTCAGAAGTGTTTTCATACTTTCTGTATGTAAACAATAGGTCTGTGTAATTCTTTACTTTATGATAACTCCTTGCTCTTACCCTCTATGGGTCAAATAGATTTTAATATGGATATGAATCCCTCCTTCCTACACAGCAAATAATGAAGGCAGATACAGCAAGCAAAACCACAGGATGGAACTTTTCTCCTTTGCAGCATGAGGTTATGGTATAAGAAGGTTTACAAAGTCCCTGTGCTCTAAGCATTGTGCTGTATCTCGTCTTGCAGGTGAGATTTTTTTCTTTTGCAAACCAGTGCCATCCTGCAAAACCTGCAGCTATTCGGGAGGAAGACCCAGATTTTCCTGCTTTGTTTCCACAGCGGATTTAAGTAATGACCTTTAAATCACTATAATAGTCCAGAGATGGCATGAACAGAAAAGGTCAACAAAAGCAAGATGAGCTCCCTAGGTTAACTGGCTAATTAATAACACTTGACCTGCATTAATTTTTGGTTTACCATCTGTACTGTCAGATGCCTCCCATCCCATAGACTTCATCACAGCTTTCTTCCACCTGGCATAGCGATATTCACTTTCTGAAATTAAGAAATCAGAAAACAGAAAAGCCTCTCAATGCATAGGAATACAACCACAAATATTTAAGAACCAGATCTGGCAATATGAGTTTTGCACAGTATCATTTGTTTGCACAGGGAAAGTAATATAAAATCCTTTTCTGAATACAAAAACACTCCACCCCAAACCCCACAGTTATGCATAGTAAGAAGAAATAAATAATTTTATTTAAAGAAATTTTCTTTATTATTATTTATTTATTATAAGTTATTTAAAGAAATTTTCTTCATGTTCACCAATAAGAAGATTTACAAGCAGGACAAAATTAAACAATTGATGTTTACGTAGAAACACTTCAAATGCTGTCTTGAAGTAAGGGATTTTAGAATTAATTATAATCAAAATGGTAAGACAAAAATATGTACCAAAAATAAAGAAATAATTGAAAAGATGAAAAAAATTTATCTTGCACAGGGATTAATTATGTCAAGTGCACACTTTCCACTTCTACAAGCACTTAAGAACTGATGAGAAAGATAGCTAGATAAAAAGCAATAATTAATATAGGCTTTTTAAAGCCAAAATTAGAGTACCCAAAACCAGTCTTATCAACATCTGTAAAAAGAATAAGTTTGCAACTCAGATAACACAAAAAGGTTTTACCCTCTGGGTTTATCTGTGGTTCAAATCGTTCCCATGTCACTGCTGTCAAATCTTCAGGATTCAGACTCCAAACTTCAACACCTTCTGCAGCTCCTGCTGCCATAGCTGCTCCTAAAGCTGTTGTTTCAGCCATTGATGGCTTTACTGGAGCAAAACACAGGGAAGACCATAATGATTTGTAATGGAAGTCCCCTTGATGACATCAGAACTAAAGACTGACATATCTATCAAGATACAATCACAAAGCAAGCTACCCAATTTGCTCTCAACAGCCATTACAAACTAATGTTTTCAGCATTAAAAAGAAAGCAGGAGCTGTAAATTCATCTTACCTACTGGAATACAGAGAATGTCTGATTGAAGTTGCATGAGGATTTTGTTACTGGTCATTCCTCCATCTACTTGTAACTGACTTAGTGGAATCCCACAGTCCTTGTTCATAGCATCTAGAATCTTAAATAAGAGTAATATATGTTACAATTTAATTGCACAGAAATGCTCTGATACCCTCTGAGGATAAAACACTGATACTACAGCATTTGCTGAAGAGGGTTAAGTAGATCAATCCTCTCTCCTATGTATTAAAAGGCAAAACAGATATAATGACAACACAGTTTTGTTTAACACACAGCACGTGCATTCTCTTCATTACAGAAATCCTAGTGTAGGACACCTCTCTCCTCAGGTGCTCTGGATGTATGTTATGCGCTGCTTGTGTGGCCTGAGAGGAATTTTAAGAAAAGTTGATGAGAACATTTATCAAAGCTAACAAAGGAAGCAGCAATAATAAATGGAGTCCTTCAGTAGATCATCCTTTGTCTAGATATTTTCTCTAATTTTATGGATTAAAGAATTGAAGAATAAAAACATTTGAACTGGCAATCTGGAAGACTCTTCAATAAGAACTGAGGAATGTTGAAATGTTTTGAAAGAGCAGCCTCTTCAAATGTTTTCAATTAGTTGTTGAAAACTGAGAATTGTATATCAAACAAGACAGAGCAAAAATAAACTGTTAGTGCAATTTTTAATAAAATTATGTTTCCTTCGTTTGGGCACAGTCTCTAGCTAAAAAATGTTGAAGGGTTTGCACAGGATAATTATCTAAGCTGGAGTATTTAATTCACTGATACCTTTCAATATGGTTTTTAGAAGCTTTCCTAAAAACTTAAGACTTGCCTCAAACCATAGTTACTGGTAACACCATGGCACTGCCTCATAATCACCAATAAATACAGAACAGTGGTTTCTGTGGGGTTTTGTAAAAGCAGTCAGTTAAATGTCTCATTTACATTTTTTTATAAGGCTAGTGCACAAGTTAGGCATTAACAAGTACAGTATGATTTTCTCTCTGTAATCTTTCAGTGTATTTAAATAAAAAAGAGGTGTGTTTTTCTCAGCTTTAAATGACAAAGCAACGCAGATCACAAAAAAAGACTAAAACTACGATGCACTCTGCCTGTTCTGTAGCTCACAAAGTACCCAGTAATACAATATTTACCAGGAATAGCCAACATGCTACTTAGAAAAGAACAAAAAAATTGTAGGCTTGCAAGATAGTGAAAACTACATGGAGATGAACTATCCAGGAGATCTTCCCAGTTTTCAGAAAGTAAGCCAGCAAGGTCCCTTACCAGAAAAATCTTTAAAGGAACATAAGGAACTGCCCAGGATAAATAAAGGTTAAAAATTACAAGGTAGAAAGAGTAAGGACAGTTTGCATGGTGGCTGCATTTGCCTATGGGCCCACACTATTCAATACACTAGAAATAAATTGGAAAACAGGATTCTTGCACGAAGTTTGCTGGCAGTACTAAACTAGTACTTATTTCTTTCACATACATCACTTCACATTTGTCTAAGGTGATATTATCTGCCTTTTTTACCATTCAGAACTTCAGCACCATTGGAGGCTCTGGGTTTGTTTACCGCTGTGCAAGAGCATGTTGGATCAGCATGCACTCAGCGGAGATTAAAATAATAAAAAGAATGCTAGAAGCCAGGAAGGGATGAAGGAACAAAACAAATCATGGTCATGCTGCTGCTATTCCTATTGTACAGAGGTGTACAAGGATCCAAGTATGCAGATTCTGCCTCATGACAGTATTGTACAGCTCTTAGAACTGAAAATTTGCTTATTTTTCCAAAATTCCTTCTGGAAGAAAAAAATGTAACAAGTGTCATCTATCTGCATAAGGAAGAAGCTTTTTGGATAACAAGGTACTCAGAAGGAGTGAATGTCACAAACAGGCAAGAACTTCAGTGAAGGTGACCTCCAATGAAGGGTTTTCTTGAAGACTTCCTTTTTCACTGGAATTGAAAGAAATTTGTTTTTGACAAGGCAGAACTAATGATGTATCTTTAGAAAAACATAAATATATTTTACCGGTGTCGCTAGGATTTAATCTGTTCATTTGAGAGTGTCCAGTGCCTGATTAGGCACTCCTGTCATTGTGATAAAATCAGAGTGACTGAAGTATGGGGAAGTGTTAGGTCTGTTCAAACGGTGAACTTCACCCTCACTCAGTCTGACAGCTTTTTCCCCCTCCATCCTACTTCCAGCCACATGCCCTGCCTTGCATTTTGACATTTGCTGAATGCCTCTGTGAGGCAGCTGAGGTCATTAATCCAGCAGAAAAATAGCCTAGCAAAAAAAGGGATAATTTTCTGCTGGAAAGTTCACCGAGTTGTCACATGAGAGGGAATGGATGGGAGGATGGACAAGGAGAGAGGAGCAGACAACAAATCAGTTCAGTTGCCTGTAACTTTACCCTGACTTCTAGTACAAGAATTAGAAAATTAGAATGCTACTTCCAATTTCCTTCACAACCATCTGAGGACTCAGAGGCTGTCAGCACAGCTTCAAAAGCAGAAGCCTGAGTGAAATCTCTGTCAGTCTTTTCCAATAAGCAATTTATTCTATATCACTACAGAAACAGCACACTGCTTCCCTCATCTTACATGGTTAGAGCAGGATGCTATTTTAAAAATCATTATGTTTAAATACCACCAGTTTAATTCAGGTAATCAAATTAAGGCTTGACTGTTATCCTGCAAGGTCTAGGGATTTCATTTCCTCCTGTATTTGCACAGAACCCAGGGACTGCAAACACTGGTGATATAAGGATTCAATGCTCATACTGATATCAACCTCTTTAATCTGGCTGGAGGATAAATTTCCTCTGTGAGAATTTTGGTTGGCTGTTACTGAATGCCAGCTGAGGCGGTGAAGGATGGTACAGGCAGGAAGTGAAGCCAGCTTTCCCTTGGTATGTTTGCTGCTGTCTTGCCTTAACTCCTTTTTGTTCTTGTGTACCAAAAGTGACATAAGCCATCTCTGTCACAGCAGACCATAAAGTTTAGTTTCCTACACCAATGAAGCTTTGTAGCTATGTCACTGGCCCTGCCATTCTAAACAGTCTGTGTTTTGCCCCTCAAAATATTCAAAAATATGTTCACCTTATTTTACATGCTGGTAAAAAGCAGCATTACCACTCCAAAAAAATGTGGCACACAATTTTAGCTAAGTCCAAAGGAGCAATTTTTCAACATTAGCAACAAGTAAAGACAACAATAGCATCCAAGTACAATATAAAGCATATGACTAATCTTCATTAAATTTTTTAAATCTCCTCTTTTCCTGAAGAGCTACAGTTCCTGTTATCACACTAATTTACAATGAATTTAGGACCCAATTTGTCTTTACCTCTCGTGTTTGAAAGCAGACTGCTTCTAGTGCAGCGAAGGCAATGTGGTTTTTATTTGTAAACTGAGTAAGGCCACAGATGATACTGTTGAAGAGAGAAAAAACCCAATTAGGACACTCTTCTTTATCAGACATAAACCTATACTTCACACCTAGGTCCTCTTCAAATCTCATTCAGTTCTATTGTATGAGGACTACTTTTTTAATATTAAAAAGCTTGGATTTTAAAATCTAAACTAATTTTCCTGACAAAGTGTTTTCAATAGTCCAATCAATACAGTTGTCATAAATCATCCATACACACACACAAATGGCCCCACAAATTCTAGTCTCTCTTTAAGAAAAAAAAAGGCTTGATTGAGGTTGATTTCTCTTTAAAAAATAATAGAATTTATCAATAAAATCTTAAAGAATTCTCTAATGTTTTCAGTTCTTAAGGAAAAGTCTATATGGCTCATTGCTGTTCTCTAAATGTTTGAAATTGTTTTCAGATCCAGTCTGATAATTCGTTGCTTCTGAACTTTCAAAGAGATTTTTGGGTATGGGAATTATGATACACCTAACCACGAATTCTGCCAATATACTCTGAAGAGCAGAGCAAATAATCATCTTTTACTCTATTTCAACAGCTGAGGAACAGCACAGTACTACACAGAAATACTGCTGGATACATGCAAGTTCAAAGATATTAAAGGACATTTTTTATTGTTACCATTCCAAAGATCAGTTTTTAACCATTAAAAGTTAAGTATTCTGATATGAAAAACTGTAAAAACATCTAATTCAGAGATTTTTCTTTTTCCTTAAAGAAAAAGATACATATAAGAAGCATCTGAATTCTAAAGATGGAACTACCTAGAACCTTGGGAACAAGCTAGCCTTTAACACTTCTTTTCCCAGTCTAGGAAAGTTACTTTTTAATTATATTTGTTATGCTTCCATGACTGCTATGGCATGTTGTGATTCCAACAACAGTAGGCAAGCTCACAACAGCATAAAAGACAAATGAAAACCTATTGTTTGAAATATCACAGGTGGTTGAGGCTGAACTACCAGGAAAGGGGCTGTAGAAAAAGGAGGAGAAAGGAATTTTCAATAGACTGGAAAGAACACAGTATACAAGGGGAAGGAGGCCAAGTGGGAAGGAATTACATGGCCTGAAACTGAACTCAAAATACTAATCAGCACAAAGTTCTTTCTTTACTACTTTTGTTGCCTGACAGTTCACAGGAATGCAGACCTCTTCTTTTACTGTAGTGAGATAAAAACCCTTTCAAAACCTGAAATTTTTTTCCCTGCCCCACACTGGTTTTGGTTCTTTTGTTGTTTTTTTTTTTTTTTTTTTTTTTTTTTTGAGGAGGGGGTCAAGGAGAGGAGGATCGATAGCTGGGCTAGCTAATCCTTCCTTTCCTCCCAGTAGCAGTTGCTGTTTTGATCAGGTTAAATACAGAACAGAAACACATTAGCTCACAAAAATACCACAGAGAATGATGTATCCCAACACATCAAGGCAACAAAAAGGAAAATTTCACATACCTGGAAGGAATATTTGTAAAATTATTAAATCCCCCTGCAAGTGCAGTGTTCAGTCAGATCCTTACCCCCTTGCACTGGGTTCCCAGTATGGTGCATACAGTCCTGAAAATGCTGGCACAAAGTAGCAGCCATAGGAAGTTCCCACCTCTGCAGCCAGTTGTTCTAAAGCACACACAAAACACTAACTCAGCTTTTCACAACTATACCAACACTTAAATACATCACTGAAAGTGTTATCATTTAATCAAGAAAAATATTCAGGATATCTTGGGTAGCTACAAATTTAATCCAGCCATGTATACAACTAGAAAACTAATGCTGGCACTCTGTGCCTTGCTAGCCAGTTTTCCTTTTGCAACAATATAAACAGAAGATGGAGCATAAGGAGTTGTGGGAAATGCAAAATGAAAAATCAAAACTGAAACCCACAACTGTGTACTCAATATTCTGACCTAGATTTTGTGAGGTTTTCAAATGTTATCTATCATGTGGATAAAGAATGCAACCTTCAAAGCAGTCCAAAAGGTCACACTTGCATTTAAGTCAAGGCAAGCAAGTGAAAATGGATCAAGACCAAAGGGAGTTAAGAACTAAATTCCCATTAATTTCAAATGGATTTAGAGCTCCAAATTGTCAGCTTATGTATTTAATCACAAAGCCAGCTAGAAGGAAATCTGAAATTTCTTGATATGAGAAAAATAACTGTGGATATATGAACTCCTCAATACCAAAATATTTGTAATTAAAAAAATAAAGACATTTATAATGACAAAAGAGATATTGCTAATGAACAGCTCTTTCCTATAACAAGAAAGGAGCATTTTCCTTCTGCTTTTGCAAATTTCTTTTGTTTGCATTGATCAGAGAAACACAGCAGTATAGGAAAGAAATAGTAAAACATCTCCAAGAAGTCCTTCTAAATTGATTCTTTCATACAGACTCCACTTGAAAAAATGGAGTGAAGGCAGAAGGAAAGACAAGATCAGTGAAACAGGAAGAGATGATGGAATCCCTACTGACTTTAACAACACTGACAAAGTTAAAGGTCCTGAAACTTAAACCTCCCAAAGGTCTTGACAAACTTGTGAAGAGGTACTGTAGTCTCAACAAATGGCTAATTATGTGATTTAGTTTATGGCTAATTTAGTTTATATTCTTCTGTATGATCTTCACAGCTTTCTTTCAGAAAAACAGACTGATGCTCTAAGTTTTTGCTGACTCTTTGAAGTTTTATATTAAATTTTAATTCTAAATTTTTCTACCTTTGAATAAGATATCAATTTATTAAAAATATGTAGTTAATTTATTTCAATCCTAAATCTCATTTAATCAGTCACTTTCAATTTTTTGCCTTTGCATGCCTCTGACATTTTTTATTTTCCAGATTTTGATATGTTCCTAGTTTTTTTCTTAAAATCTAGTTTGTTTCAGTTCATCTGAATTAGAAAACATCAGCTACACAAAAGCTAAAGGATTACTGCATTCTCAGCTGAAACAGATTACCCTCCTCCACATCTCTTTAAGAGGCAACTTTGCAAACTGAGATCCCTAACTCAATGGATATGAAACCTACTACATGAATATTACATACACTTGCAGGGCCTCAGGTTCTCATGTTTATGACAAGAATATGTAAGTTTAGGATCAAAATAGGCTGGTTTCTGTAATACAGGCTTAAATACTCTTGGCTCTGGAAACTTCAACACTGCATAAAACCAGGAGATGCTCTGTAAGTATAGTATCTTCCTGAATATCTGCTTACCAGGGAAACTACTAAAAAGTACAGATTGCAACAGAACAAAGCTGACAAAGCCTTTCCAAGACTGTGTTGATAGGCTCTATGAAATACATGTATCAACAACAATGAGCTCATGGATGCAAAGTAAATTTTTGTTGTGTTTAAACACAGCAAAATATATGCACCTTCCAGCTTTTTACTTAAATATTTTGAGCTTTCATTCACTGATAGAGACATCATGACATTGGAAAACTTAAAAAAACTGTACAGCTCCATACTCACCAACTTCCAGGGAAGAGTTAGCAATACCCAGATTGTCCCTCAGCCAGCGAACGACAGCCCCAGCTATTGCAACAGATCCCTGAAGGAAACAAAGCCACTCCTTTAGGAGACAGCACCTGGCAGCTCTGTGCTGCTTTTAAAAAGCCTGGGGAGGAGAGGTGGCTGTGGCCTCCACCTGCAGGCTCACAGTCACAGCTCACAACCAAACCACAGTTTCTTGGCATCTGGAAACTGCCACGTAAAAAGGGCAGCCTGTTACACAGACCCACGTAGAAAAGGTGCGTATTGTATGCTTTTTTCCATGCGGGGAAGTTACAGTGACATTTCCTAAGGAGTCTTCTTGTCTTTCTAATTTATGTCTTCTGAATATATAGTTATGAGGTTCAGTAGCCTCAGACTTCTTTTCCTGACACATCAGTATTTTTATGTTTTGATTTAAAAAAACAAGACCAATTATGTCTAGTCTAAATACAAACATCCAGAAAGACAGAAAATTTAGGCACTTGTGCATTTGCCAGCAAAATTGTTCTGTTGCCTCAGCAAATGGCCCTGAATGGCTTCACCACATCACAGATGGATGGCATGGCTCCCATCTAACCCCAAAGCCAAGTCCAGTAGACTAATTTCAAGTAAAACAGTAGCAGCTTTATATTTTCATTCCAAGCCACTGCTAGAAGGGGCAGAGGTGTTTTCTAAGCAGCTGGCTATTACAAGATACCAGTTTGATTAAAGCAAAAGGCTGAATCCACATTTTCTGTCTCTCTGCAGTGTCTCAACCAGCAGACTGTAGATGATTCTAGAATGGATATAGGACAAAGCACACTTAATGGCTTCTGTTGAAGCCATGTTTTCAGATAATATCATTAAAGACTTGGAGGTGAAGAAGAAGCAAAGTGCAGGTGTTTCAGCATGCAGGAATTCAAATCACTCTCAAGACAGTTTCAGTTCTTGCTTTAAGAACAAGGGTTAAAAATAAAACAAGCCTCTCACACACCCACACAAAACAAAAATCTCAGAGTTTGCCAGGTCATGGCAAATGCAAGATTCACTTTCCTCAGGGAAGAAAAAGGAAATAAACTCAGCCTCCCACATCCTAATAAAGCCACAAACTATTCTCAGAGTGAAGAAAATCCTGTGATGTCTTTCACATGGAAAACACAGTCTGTCTACAAAAGCTCAGTATCAGCATTCAGTGCATGTAATTTGAGAATAATTATTATATTTCAATACTTAGCACATTAAGCAGCACAGATGGAAGAATTATAATTTTGTTGGTGCCAAATAGGTGCTCAGTTGATCTGTGTTTCAGAAGTAGAGCTTTAGAACAATGAACTCCAAAGTTTAAGCTAAATTTTCTATATAATTTGGATACCCTTAGGCTTGTTTGGAGAATTGAGAAACTAAATTCTGTAAGTAGGCATCTAAATGAAAGAGGTAAAAAAGCTAAATGATTAGAGGATTTTTTCCCAGAAATTTGATTCACATTTTTAGAAGTTAGAAGTAAAATCCATTAGAACAAAATAAAAAAATTAGCTATGACTTTATTACGAGGTAATAACTGAAACATGAGTACTTTCTCCTTCTTTTTTTAAACCTTACTTAGTATTACAAAATGTATGGCTTTTTATTTATAGTACTTATTAAAGATTTGAGAGACTGAGTAACAGAAAAAATGTTGTAGCCATCTAGCTCTAAAAGTATAAATGATGCAATGAAGAAATATTTTTTATTAGATTTCATGATAAAGATTTGAGACAGGAATAACCAAAACCACACAGAAGCCTTCAGGCACACAAGCATAACACAGAGCTAGTTTCATTTCTGCACAGCTGAAGACACCATAAAAGTACCAGATAACAGAAGTAAATAAGAACATACATCATTACAAAAAGGAAGAAAGTACTGAACTTACCTCCAGTGCATAAAAAGCAGGTTTGTCTTTGCCCATTTTGTAAGCTAGTGTGGTTAAAAGACCGTGCTCAGAAAACACACACTAAATGGGGAAAGGGAAAAGAAAAGGTAAAGCATGAACAGAGGCAGAAAATACTTAAATAAAAACATTCAAATTATAATAAACAAGGGACCAAACTTTCAAATGAAATATGCAAAGTTTAAACAAAGTAAATTATCAGTGACTCTAAATAAACACCTAAGATAGAGTACTCAGATTGCTGGTGCTAATTCTTGTTTCTACAAGCTGCTGCAGATCTTTCCATCTTCCTTATAGAAAAGAATTGGGGGTCTTTAGGGGGAGATGTAAATGAGAAGGAAGCCACAGAAGTTTTGTGCTATTTATTCAACTCCAACTACAAAGAAATGATGACAGAAAATGAAGAGAAGAAATAAAACAGCCAAGACAAGGAAAAAGGCATATGGTAAAATAATATAACACTTAATCCTGTCTGGGTGACAAGAAACATACAAGGGAAGAGCATGAAACTTGTTAAGAAAAGTTCTGTTTGGAAACTTAAGGAGATAGGAAATGGAATCTTACAGAAACACCTTAAAAAGAATTACTACTTTTATTCTTTCAGATTTCAGTACGTGCTTTTCCCTTTGGCTGGCAATATAATTGTTGTTAATAAGTCCAAGAATGGCTAACATAGAGTTGTGTTTCAGAAGTTAAATAGATTGTGAAAAACAAAAAAGCAAACAACTCAAAAATGCAACTGACCTTCTGACCTGTGTTGCACAGCAAGAAACAACCTGTTCCGTACCTAGCATGAAAACAAAGCAAAGTTAAAACCACAATGTTTAAAGAATAACCTGTTACTGCAATCCATGAGTCCCCCGTGAAGAGTCAGGACACCACTTTTTGACCCTTGAAGGTTTTGCCACCATTAACTGATGATACAACTATCCTCAAAAAGTTGATCTGAATGCAGCCTGAAAAATCTAGTCACATGTCTTTCTCTCTCTCTCTTTTTTGTCTAACACTTAATCAAGGAGAGATATGGCTGAAAACTAAGTATAAATTCCTCTTTGGTGACAGTGTTTACCTACTTCAATTTAAGCTGATTATGAGATCAACTTTATAAAATAAATATTTCACAATATTAAATGGGAAATTTTAAGAAACTTTGTTCCTTTCACAAAGAGGGTTTTCTTTAGACATATCCCATTCAAAAATTTCTAAAAATGGCATGTTTCTCATTTGAAGACCAAATCATCTATGTGCGTGCATACACACTTCTACAGGAACACAGTTTAATATAAGGAGTACAAAAATATTATAAACCACTCCAATTTACTCTAAGAAGTAATTTTTGAGAAAAATATTCCTTACCTTTTTAAATCCCTCAAAACTAATACCTTAAACCAGTCCTGAGATAGCCTTCAGTTATATTTGGAAACAGAAATAGTAAAGCAATAACAGAAATGAATTAAAACAAGATAGACTAATATGTAACCATACCTGTGAATCTCCCATACTTGAGTGTGTATGTCCCTACATGCTTAGTTAAGCACCTGGCTGTACATGGAACAGTAAGTCATTTCAGCAGACAGCTTCTCCTCCCATGATTTTTTTATTATACCAGTTGCCTGATTTAACTGATCAGCTATTTTAAACAAAGGACACTAAGAGGCTGAGAAACAGGAAAAAGCAAACATAAAATTCTCCACTCTGAGTGAGACATAAAAGCAAAACTAAGCACTGCAATTGAAATGGACCTTTCCCATCTAGCAAAGCTGTGTCATTCAAGTCTATGCAATCTAACTCACCGTACTGTATTTGCTTAACCTTAGGTCACCATTTAAATGACACTGCAAATGTTTTAATCTGTGTTTTGAAGAATGTTAAAATGAAAACCCCACTGTCACATAGAGATTTTCCTCACAATGGCTGTATTACAAAATATACCTCACAAGCCATGTAACTTTAATATCTTTACTATGTAAGAGTCAGGACATGGTTTACTTTGTGGGTCAACACACTCAAAAGGTAGATCTGTAATTAAAGGTTAATTATAAAAGAGTTTGGCAGTTGCTTGAAAGAGAACATAATGCTAAATTCAAAACAGAGCAGGGTGTTTATCTTATTACTTTCCTAATAACTTACGTGTTTTTTGCTTGTCCATCTTGAAAGCACATTTGCCCAACAAGAGCAGCATGCTGGTCTCCCAAGCACTGAAAGTGAAAGATTTTTTTCCTTTAGCAAATGTCCTCACATGAATTTCATATGTGTCTATAACTCTAATCTATTAGTAGCACATGGATAATTGAAAGCAAGGAAAAACCTAGAGGAAAGCTATGCTTTTTATTACTCTTCCCTGTAAGAGCTGCAAATGAGATGTGTTGGGCTACTTATGGTGAGCAATTTATAGAAATAAAAACTAAAATTTACTATCTTTACATGTTATTGGAAAAAACTGAGAATTTGCTCAGCATTGCTGGATTATGTATATACTTTTTTTATATATATGAAGCAGAGCTTGCTTCCATTTTGTAATGTTAGTCATTTACTTAGAGATACCAAGTTTCCAGCTAAAACTCTCACTTGTATTTCCACAGCCAGACCTTAATAATAATGGATCAACCCAAACAGCGATTCATCTACAAAAGTTTACTTCCTGTTCAACCGGAAGAAAAAAACTAAAAACTTAATTCACAGCAGGATTCACTCATCCTTTAAGGCTTTTTCCTGTGAAGATACGTTCATGCAGTTCTAGGCTGTCATGCCAAAAGCTACGTTGAAGTAGGACTTACCCCAGAAATTGGTACACCTGTCAAAGCTCCAGATTCCTGTTTTGCAAAAAGTGAAAGAAAAACTCAGAGTTAGCTTTCCATGACTAGAATTGAAGGCAATGAAAAATACGCTAAACTTCTAATGCTCAAAGGAAAACAAAGAAGGGTCATGAAAGCAACACGGCTTAGTTCAGGCGTACACTTTGTTTCAGCTCAATGCAGCTCATGTCTAAATCACTAAGAAATGAAGAGCAGGAAGTTTTACAAATATAGTTCATGTGACCTCAAAAGTTCTTAGTATAAGTTTTCTTGAAATAACACTACACAGAAAATCCAGTTCAGTGTAATCTGTGCAGTAAATGCCAAGTGTAAAATGCAAAAGTGCGAAATGGTAAAGTGATCAGGAAAAAAACACGGCTGTGGTGACATCCTAAGCAAAGGCAGATGCCTGATGTTAAGATACAGCATTTTAAGTCTCAAGTAGGATTTCTTACAAACACTACCAGAGTTTTTCATTTACATTCCTGTTACAGAATCATAAAATCATTTAAATTGGAAAAGACCTCTTAGATTATCAGGTCCAACTGTTAACCCATCACTGCCAAGTCCATCACTAATCCATGTCCATAAGTGCCACATCTATACGTCTTTTAAGTACCTCCAGGGATGGTGACTCCACCACTTCTCCTGGCAGCCTGTTCCAATATTTGACAAGCTGTGAAGGCTCTTGTTTTATCACTTGTTACCTAGGAGAAGAGATTGACCCCCACCTGGCTACAGTCTCCTGTCAGGCAGTTATGGAGTGGTAAGGTCCCCTTCTGAGCCTCCTTTTCTCCAGGCCAAACACCCCCAGCTCCCTCAGCTGCTCCTCATCAGACCTGTGCTCCAGACCCTTCCCCAGCTCTGCTGCCCTGCTCTGCACTCACTCCAGCCCCTCAGTGCCTTTCCTGCGGTGAGAGGCCCAAAACTGGACACAGGATTTGAGGTGTGGCCTCACCAGTGCCGAGCACAGGGGACAATCCCTGCCCTGGTCCTGCTGCCACACTATTGCTGATCCAGGCCAGGTGCCATTGGCCTCCCTGGCCCCCTGGGCACACCTGGATCATGTCCAGCTGCTGCTGACCAGCACCCCCAGCTCCTTTTCCTCCTGGCCTTTCCAGACACCTTCCCCCAGCCTGTAGCTCCACCTGAGGTTGTTGTGACCCAAGGGCAGGACCTGGCACTTGTTGAACCTCACAGAACTGGTCTCAGCCCATCACTCCAGCCTGTCCAGATCCCTCCACAGACTCTTCCTGCCCTCCCAGCAGATCAACATTCTGCCCTACTCAGTGTCACGTGCTAACTTAGTGAGGGTATCCTGAAAATTTTAATTATTTAACTTTTTCCTGACAATTTCTACTTGTTTCCTTAAATTGGTTTTTTGTGCAGTTGTGAAAATGAATTTTCAGTAAAGCCATGCAAGTGTATTTCCAATCTGAATTAATTCACATTTTAATTAACTGTATTTAAGGTAACTGTGTTTATAAATGCACTAAAAAGCTCTACATGAATCTGATGTTTAGCTACCACAGGATTAATATTTTTAGAGAGAATGGACACTTTTTCTCCTTTATAAAATGCTATAGCTAACATTTATTAGCTAGTAGCTGTATTTTTTATCTCACTATAAAATAAATATTCAACAGTGTGGAAATTAGGACAAACACATACACTGAGATCACGTTTTAGAAATAATTTTGGCATGAACTTATTTCTTTTATCTATTTTTTTTATCTCAGATTTGGAAACACACAGCAAATTTATTGGCCTAGGAGTGCACTTTTTCTAATCCTTAAACCAATGAAAATGCACAGCATCTGAGCAGAATGAGTAAGGTGGTCAGCCTAATGGAAGCCTCTACTCACCCGGCTAGGACAGATTTTCTACAGCCAGCAAAAGGAAGAAAAAGAAAAAAAAAATGGAAAGGGGAAGAGAAACAGAAGTTCACATTTAAAGTGAAGAGCAATTCTGTTCTGGTGGTCAGGCAGTATCTTTTTCCATTTACCTTGCTCATTCATCTTAATACAACTCACTCTTATCCAACCTTCACATAAATAAACATCAACAATGAATTCTAGCGGCATTTCCATTAACACATTAGCAAAAATATTTCAGGGAAGTTAGAATTCTATTTTAAAAAAATCCATCTTGTAACTTGTGTTCACTCAAAATACATGTATTCTTATTTAGAATAGCTCAAATTACCAGAAAAAAGAATGCAAAATCCCAACATCCAGTTTATCCAATCTGAAGTTTATTAATTAAATGCCACTGTGTCAGAAGAACTGGTGCTGCATTAAAGTAATCAAATACTCAACTTCCTATAACATTATATAATAGCAGGTAATAGCTTACTAATCATAAACCAAAAAATATTGGTCAAGAAAAAAACATTAATCCTAATCTATAGAATCTGTCAAATCCAAATGGATACAGCTATATTTTTACAAGATGAATTTCACACAAATATTGGAAAACATACCATCACACCATAAATCTCAGAGGAGCTTCGTATGTTTGGAAGTATTTCCATAGGAATTTCAAAGAACCTGAATACAACAAAAAATAATGTATATTATGTAGTCAGTGCTAAATCAGAAAGCATAAAGGGACTTTTGTTTCTAGTTTTTAATCTACATGTTTTTCCACTTGCTACAGCGGACCCTGAATTTTGGAGGAAAGCAGCATATATTTCCATCTTTGAGGACCTATCCAACTCTTTTATATAGAAATTCATGCCTCTTCCAACAGTATCTTAATAACACACTTATTAGTAAATTGAAGTCTCAAATAGAGATGCTATCATTCCAGCTGCTGTACAAATTTGATTAAGTAATAAAAACACTATTAAATCACAGTATTCTGAGCTGGAAGGGACCCACAAGGATCTGAAGTGATTGGCCCATACAGGGATGGAACCCACAACCTGGGCATTATTAGCATCATGCTTTAATCAACTGAGCTAAACCGTTTCCATGAACCAGGCCTCCACCTACAGAAAGATTCTGCGACTTTTATTTAATCCAGACCATTATAAACTGGACATCTGGAGAACAATGAATCTTAGTTATTAATGTCAACAGCAAATAGAACAGTACCTGCTGATCTTAGTTTAGATAAGAGATTCTTACCTTTAAACTAGTTAGAAACTATTTAAATTATAGTATTACTGAAAAACTGAGCTTACTTGCAGAGCTCAGGATCCCATTCCAAGGAATGAATGTTGAACAACATTGTTCTACTGGCATTGGTGACATCTGTACAGTGAATGCCTCCATTTATTCCACCTGTCAAACTCTAAACAAAAAAATCACAGCATTTGTCAAGGAGAAATACAGGCTTACTCCAACAAATTACAAAAACATTTCAAAATCAAAAAGTTTTCACCTTGGGATTAGGAACTCTGGTATTTCATCTTGCAAGGAACCTCATTGGAATTTCTTTAGTAGTTTTTATTGACTGATTATCACTGTGTCATCAGGGGGCATCAAGTATCACATGCATGGAGACTTACATGATATGGGAATTCACTGTAAGAAGAGTGATAACAAACTCACAAATACACACCCATATAAGCCATGAATCAATAGTCCCAAACACAGCTCTTCCATCCTCAACTGCTTTCTTAATCTCTTCCACATTATCCAAGAGCCACCGAAGTTTCACTGCACTAAAGTAAGTGCTAAGTGGAAGACCGGTCTTAGACTGTAAAATTAAAAAAAAAAATTTAAACATCATGCAAGTATCTTTTCCATAAATACTGTAGTTATATGTAAAAATGGTGATAGTAAGGGAAAAAGAAAATACACAAACCTCAGAAAAATTCCACGAACTTCTGCAATTATTTAAATAAGTACTAAGCATACAACATACAAGTTTGAAAACATCAAAATCAAATGACCAGTGCAAAAACAGATAAAGATCAAAGCTGATCTAAATGCAGTTCAAAGATCATCTACGTGGAAAAAGTTGTTTGCAGAAGGCCTGTCTTATCTAGGACATCTCCATATGACTAGACAATAAGTAACAACAACAAAAATGGGCAGGACAACACAGGAAAGATGAAAATTGCATTCTACTAGAACTTGAAAATCAAGTAAGTTTATGCACTTTTTGACATCTGTTTCCTGCCTGTAGGAAACATATAATATAAAAAGTACATAATATTTATCCTATTAGTAAAGGACAACATTAATCAAACAATTGTGACACTTCTTTACAAGCATTTAGTTTTCAATTTGTTATACATATGCTCACAAAAAAAGAATGATCTTGCTCTTTATGAATGATCTTCCTTGTTCTCCGATTGGATGCAATTAATTTCAATATTAAGGCATGAGAATGGATAATACATTTCATACCAGTAAATTATTTCCTTTTTTTTCCTACTTGACTTTAATTTTTGTGTGTAATGTTTATTTTATATTGGCTAGATAGCATAGGATTATGTCTCACTTCCATAGTGAGATATTAAATAAGTGTTAAACATTTATTTTAAGGAAAGGAAAAATTTTCTAGTCTCAGATTAGTGTCTTGTGCTCATTTTTTATTATTTGACATGCTAAGAAGGGACTAAAAACTACAAGTAACTTGGTTTAGGAGAATTTTAAACATATATATCCAAAACATTATAGATTGCAGCAGGTACCATTAAAATGTTCTGGAATGTCTCCTACCTTTAAAAAATTTTTGTTTTGTCCAGGAATTCTTTTAAGAAGACGTTCAACAGTTGACTGGGTCCTCAGGTCAAGCCACACTAAAACCATGAATAAAATTAATTGATCATGTGATTTAATGCACAAAAAGTGACATGTTCAGCCTGCTTCTATGAAACCACAGCTCTTGCCAATGAATTCCTGTCTATTTTTATCTTTTCATGTCGTTGAAAGAATATTGTATTGCCATTGTATTTTAAAGGCACTGTTGTAAAAATTAAAATGGTTGGATAAATCAATTTGATTTAAAAGAACAAATTATTTGAGAAAGAAGAAGGATTTTCCAGAAGTAGAGTATTTACTTTATCAGAATATAAGCAAGTGACTAATGCAGCAGATGACTGTGATTAAACTAAGAGATTAAAACAAATAGCAGGTTGATTATTTACTATTTCTATGTAAACTTTCTACTAAAAGACTGTGTTGTAGTTATCAAGGTGTAGCTGGGTTTAAGATAAAGTTGTTAACTACAATTTATTTGACTATAGACAAGTCCTGGTTTTACAGTCATACTATGTCAAACTATATCTGGCACTTGACCTAAAAAACCAACTCTAGACAATTACCATTTTTCAGCTGACAATATCTGAAAAGCTAAGCAAGTTAAAAACAAAACTCTGAGTATTAATAAGTATTCATTAAGTCATCAATAATTAAACCTACTTAACAGGATTTTCCTTTAAAGTGTAATCACCAGCATCCTGAAAATTTCAAAGAAAGTGATTGGGTGCAAGTCAGAGCATTTTGTGCCAGGAACCCCTCAGGAACATAGTGGGGTTTTTTGAAAACCAACAAAGTGATTTATTAAGTAACAATTTTTATGGAAAGAGTTTTTTTAAACTGCACTGGTATGTATGCTAACACACATCTTACAACACAGATATCAAAAAATCCAAGAAATTACTAGGCTAGGCCACAACCAGATTTGCACAGGAAACTACAAAAGCATTTTTTCCACAACATGATCATTTTATGATATTACATATTCAGAAAGCATAGTTACCAATAGCATTATAAAGAGGTTCTCCAGTTGTCTTGTCCCAAACCACTGTTGTTTCTCTCTGATTGGTGACTCCAATGGCTTCAGGACAAAACAGAAAGTATCCTTTTCAGAAGGTTTGTTTTCCCCTTTTGGGGGGTGAGGGAGGGAATGGAGAGGTGGAGAGGAGGGAGGAATAGGTAAGCAGAAGAGCAAAGTAAATGGGAAATAAAAAGCTTCCAATTCTTTCAAGGCATAATCCAGAAATATTACTTCTACAAGTTCATCTTTGCTGATTAACCTATATGCTCTAAACCTCTTTCTTTTTCAGCCACAAACTGAGACAGCAACAACACTGACAGGGGAAATCAGCTTTCCTAAATTAAAGTCCTAAACTTAATTTCAGAATTTCTTCATCACTCATCTCAGTGATTTTACAAGATTAGGTTAAGTCTATTTGTAGATTCTGCATTGCTAATACACACACTTATTTTCTCATTCTTCCTCCCAAAAAAACTACTTTCAAGTACAATTTAACATTTTGTTTGAGGCTGGCACATGCTGCCACCTTTCTATTTATTCATTTAAAAACTATGGTATCTGAATTGCTCAACCATAGCATGTTAAAGCCCTCTACCCATAAGTACCTCTTATGTTAGCGATGTCTATGTTCAGTTCTTTCATTTTCTCACAGGTCCTTTCCACACATTCATGGACAGAGTCTAATATTTCCTTTGGATCTTGTTCCACCCATCTTTAACAAACAGTAAACACCAGTTAATAAAAATGTACATAAAAAGAAAAAATAATACTAGTCTGAAAAACAAGCTGACGATTTTAATACAAATATAGCTACAAAACATGTTTTACATATTTACAAAGAGTTTTGTTTTGTTCTATACAGAGGGCATTGGCAGCAAGTGGTAGGTCATTTAGGAACAGACAAACAAACAAACAAAACCTCAGAAAACAAAGGAAGATATTTCTACCCCAAGGTGAAGACTGTGATTCAAATGTAAAAATTACCAATTTTATTACCTTAAATGAGATGTTAAAGTCTCATTTAAACTTTAGTTTTAAACTTCAACGTTTAGACGTTAAAGTTTAGATGTGAAATATGTAAATGAGTGACCAGAGCCAAACACCAAGTACTTTTAGTTCTGTAACTCAGGCACGTTCTGCACACCCAGTGGGAGCTGTTTCATGCCATTTTTTCTGCCCAGGCTTTTATAGCAGCTGCTATGCTTCTAAGAATTATTAATCAGCTTCAGTTTTGATGACTCATAGATAAAAATTCATAAGCTCTACCAAACTCTACACAAATGAAAATAAAAAAATATCATACCCTTCTTTAGGGAATTCTTGCTTTAGTTCCACTTGATGGTGACTCAAGAGCTCTGCTGTTCCTGCATTAAACACCTGTAAATAAATTACACAATTGAATTTTCTATGAACACAGAAGTTTATACAACAATAATTAATATTTATTATTTTGAACAAATGCAGTGCTGTGACAACAGATAGTAATTTGTTATCATCACCCCAATATCGATATAACAAGGATTCAGAGATACACACTTTTAAAATTAAGGAAGGCAAAGATTATTTTGGCAAACTTTGCTGTCACTCTGTCAATTTTAGCAGCATTTTTTTCCTTAATGGGTTGGAAAAGAACCAGATTTTTTCTTGTGGTGGTTATAGAAGTTAAACTCCTGATGCATACTAGAATATTACTCAGTAAAATACCCACTGTTGTTGATAATAGCATTTCTTTAGCTCTTACTGTGCCACTCTACTGCCAGAGTTATCTGCGTGTTTTCTTGGGTTAGCACATTTTAGGAAGAGTGAAAATCTATGACAAAATCTATGGGACATCTATGTGAATAGATCTATGTGAATCTATGAGAAAATCTATGAAAAAATCTATCAAACTAAAGAACAAGAAAGTACCTAAGCAAAACCCATTTTGTTTCAAAACAAACTACAAGTGCAGAGCTCATGAACAGTCTGACAAGAAAAGAATGCCACTGCAGCAACACAACCCATCAAAAAAAGAGAACATGCAGAAAAGTAACTTAAATTTGGATACTCTACAATAAGAACCAGCAGAGTAGAGAATCACGAGGACTCTGTCAATGGGTGTGCTCAAGGAATCCCAAGTTAGAGGCTGTGCCTTGCAGTAGAAGCTCATGGAGAAAGCACAGCAAGCCTCATTAACCAGCAGTGACTGTTCCCAAAAGGAATCTCTGCCGAGGCCAAGCTAGGGACACCCGGTGAAACATTCAACTGAAGTGAACAGAGAGTGAGCCAGACGGCCTGGCTGGGCAGTGGGGGCAATCCTGGGGGAAGGGCTCTTTGTCCACAGCACGACGCAGAATCTTTTGTGTGAAGAACCTTCTGGGACCTAGAAAGTAGAATCTAGCAGCAGGTTCAGGTGAGCTGCAGAACGTGTCAGTAGGACACCATCCTCCTTTTCATGGCAAGCAGAGCTGAGCCAGATTTAGAAACCGCTCGCATGCTGAAGAAACAAAATTCAGTTATAGCCATCCTCCCTCTAGGATACAACTGAATTATTCTATACTTGCTAATGCTCTCTTCTCATACCACAAATTTTAGGGGTTTCTCTTAAAGTTTTTAATCCATAAACTCTTGGTATCATCTACACAGTACACTTTACCCTGAAACTATTAGAACAACTCTGACAAAAAGGAGATGAAGTTCTGATTCTCCAGTTTCTTTGGAACCTTAAAGAGCATCTTTAGAGTGAAACTTTGATGTTTAGAAACATTTGACTTACATATTAGAGCTGCAGAATAATTCAGGCTGAAAGGGACCTTGACAGATCTCTAGTACAACCTCCTGCTCAAAGCAGGATCAGCAATGAGATTAGATCAGGTTGCTCAAGAACTTTTCTAAGCAAGTCTTGAAAACCTCCAAGGATGAAAACAGCACAAACTCTGGAAAACATTGAAAGCTTCATTGCCCAGAAAAGAAGTCTTTAAAAGGTACATGACCATTCTTTTCTGCTATCAGCTCAAAAGATTACATAGAAAGAGCACCACTGAATTATTGGTACTTTATTTACTTATCTGTGTTTCATCTATCAGCTCAGGCTTGACAGGAGTCTATCCTATTAAAGAGAAAGCTCTGTCAGTACTACACATTAGGAAGCAACTTGCATAATGGGATATGGATCTCAAAATGCTACACAAGACACTTAATGGAGAGGTTGTTTTGCATGTAGGCAGTAAGATTTCTTTACTTGAAATTGCCTTCCTGCCAAAAGCATATTCAAATTTACTAGGTTTTTAGAATAAAGACAGCGAGATTGTGGGATCTCAGCACAACAGTCCTGATGTGCAGAGTCTCCGAGACAAACAACCCTTGGGGGGCTCGGAGGTCCTGGAACGTTGCCAGAAGTGTTTGGTGGTTAGACTTTGATCCTGCACGGGAAACAACACCTGTATGAGGATGGGAGGATCACACAGGGATAAATGGTGAAGAGATAGATTAATTATAGTGTGAAACACAGGTTTTAGATTCTCGGTACAGGGGGGTTCTAGGGGGACAAGATGGAGGAATTAGGGCGTGTCCTGTCCTTCTTCTTCTTCTTCTTCTTGTCCTCCATCTTTGGTGGTGATGGTGGCACTTTGAGATTGGTTCTTACTGAATGTGCACTTGTCAATAAGGGTGAAAGGTATTGGGGAGAAAAGGTAAATATCTTACACGTAGTTTTTGGTATAAGGATAAGTGACCACCCCGAGGGCAGTCAGTGTGCTCGTGGCTGACTTGCTGTGTGGACCTCTGTCGGGCCGAGAGAAAATATTGTAGATAAGAATTAATAAACACTGAAGACCGAAAAATCTGAAGACTCCTTTTGTCCTTTGGAGCGCGGGCTGCCCCAAGGCCATCCCGAGCCTGTCCAGGCCATTAGAACAGCCGAGGAACGGGACACGAGATAGAAGACTTTATTTTACCTGTATGTTAATATGTTATGTATCTGACATACTAGTAATGTTAAATATCATGTGGTAATCGTTCACCACTAATCATTCAGTATTTCTTGAAACAGAAGGTAATGCAAAGGATTCCTAGTGGTAGCTGGAAGCACAGATTCCATTAGATAAAGTCATCAAGTGAATGTGGAGTGTGGGGCTCACAGACACAGCAATAAGCTGTGACAGGAACATGTTTTCAATGGAAGCAATAACACTATGAATGCACAGATTTTTTCATATCCATTGAGAAGAACTAGGCAAACACTGCTAATCCATCACAAACAAACCTGCAAGCTTCTGACATTCTCAACAAAAGCAGCAGACAGTCCCCATTATTCAGGGCAAGGGATTCAAAAGTTTCACTGGGAGCAATCCCTGTTTGAGGCCACGTTGGACAGGGCCCTGTGCACCCTGGTCTAATGGAAGCTGTTCTGCCCATGGTGGGGGGGTGGAACCAGGTAATATTTATGGCCCCTTCTGACCCAAATCATTCCATGATTCTATGACTTCTACACCGATAGACAGAATTCTGATATGTGGAAAGATGAATGAGTCACTAAATTTAAACATACAAAATTATATATAACATAGGGAATAAATAGAACATATGGGACCTCAAAGCCTTTCTTTCCCACTCCCTCCAAAAAAATACAACTGTTGTCAAAAAAATTCCCTATGTCGTCCCTGTTTGACAGTGGAGAGATAGAAACTAAGTGAGAATAAGTACAAATAAATCAGATAAGGTCAATATATCCCTGTTGAAAAAGGTTTGAAGTGTATTTCTGTAATTTGTTGGGACTAGAGGTTTTCAAACCTTTCATATTCATTTACAACTGATTCAAGTTTATGCTCCTGACCTCTCAGTTGTGTGTGGGGGAAAGCCAAAGTCAGTCCAAAGTCAGTTTTGCCCTAATTTTATCAGCAGAAATGAAGAATTGTCTAGGCTATTAGGAGTTGTACAGCTGTCTTGAACAGAGATGAAAGTGAAAGCCACCAGATGTGTACCAAATTCTCTAGTGAGAGATTAAAAAAAAGGAATAAATAACATCCTTCCTCTACTCCCAATGGAGAATCAGAGCTTGAGCCTTGAGTCTCAAGAGTGCAGAGAAGAAAGGCCTGCATGGGTGTCCTGTATGTGAACAAGCAGAGAGGCAGAGGGGCTGGTCACTTAATTGAAGCTTTTTATAGGGTCTTTAATAAATCACATAAAGGGGTATAGTTAGATATTATTACATATTATTGTGTGTTACATTTATGTTTTGTTGTCTTAGTGGAAAAGAATTAATATCAATGAGTTGTAACAATTTTCAAGGAACAAACAGAAATAGGAGGCTCATGGAAGTGAAGAAAGAAGCTGCACAGCTGAAAAGACAATAATGAAAACAGATTTTAGAAGTGACTTTTCACATCTCTCAAGCTTTGTCATGTAACTCTTCCTGCAGAAAAGCTATTTCTGTTATGCTGCGCTGTATCTTCATGAGTTTCTGGCAAGCAGGAACGGTCATGGCTTTGTAGGCAAACAAGTTCAGAGCTGGAGTTCTGAAATTGCATCGAAATCAACACAGCTGGGGCAAGAAAAAGAGACAAACAATAATTTCCCTCTCCAGTATTTAACTAGGAGTAGCACAATCAGAATTTATGAAAAAGTCCAAGTTTAACAAGCCTCCTAGAAATTACCTTCCTTGGAAGGCTCGTGATGAACGGATTTCTCTTGCCATCTAGGAGGTGCTTACAATTATGGGATTTAAAAGTAAAACTACACTGTACTTTAAGTGATAAGAGCTAGGGGGGGAAACTGTATTTACAGTATTTTTAACCCTTCTTGCTAGTTATTAATCAAGTTTTTCCCAAAAGGTCATGTTACTTCAGAAGAGGGGTAAAATGAATGCCCCTCTGAAGAGAAAGCTCAATGGGAATAAATATCTTCCTTACCTAAAATCAGGTTTTGTTCATTGAAAAGAATGTTTGCAGTGTGATATAGCTTTATTTGATTGTTTCTTCTGGAGGCAAAGTATAGGATTTTGACTTGTGACTTGGTGAAGACAAAAACTGTTGGAAACACTACAGTTAAAAAAAACGTAGAGACATCACTGCGAAATGTAACAAGAACAACTAAAAGCAAAAGATCAGCAGAGCCAAGGAAATCATTTAGGCACCGACAACAATACATTACATTCTGGCTTAAAACATTTCAAGGCAAAATCTCTATTCCAACTGCAGCAATCCCTTTCCAGCACAGAATTCTTCATTTACAGGTGTTATCTGAATGACTGAGATGAGTTGTAACAGATGTCTGCACATTTTGCCCACTTCTCTCCCTCTCCCCTGTGTTCTGATTTAACTCAGTGATCATGCATCTTATTTGCTCAAGCCTATGTAACTTTATTATCACAATGTAAGTTTATTATCATAATGGCATGATCACACTGTCAAGTTTAAGACAGTGCTGTATGTTGACGAATTGAGAGACACTGAGATGGATACAAGAATTTAAAAGTGGCAGACACAACATACGTCTTGAAAAAATTAGGAAGCAATTGAATCCTCTTGTAGGCAGGCAAAATCTCCCCAGCTGCATAAAAATCATTGATGAATGTGTGTAGTGTAAGAAGTTCCTCCTAAGAGGAACTTGTACAAACACCTGTAAAAAGAGCTTAAGTTTTACTTCTACTAGTTTTATCCCTTGAGGATAAGAAAAAAGATATCTTTTTATATACATAAAAGCAGACAGAATTTATCTTATTGCATTACAGGGACCTTCTTCAAGTTTGTTCCCAAAAAGGACTCCTGACTGGCATCCAAGACAGCCCACTGGTGTCATTTGTCAGTCTGGAGTTTCTCTCCGCCCCCAGAGCTGTGTTTTCTCATTTGACAATCGCATGAAGGTCGTGATATTGAGTAATAATGGTAACACAGGTCAAGAAGATATTCTAGTCTCCTGCTTCATGAAGGAACATTTCACACAGGGGAAGCATTAAAAAAAAAAAAGGCAGCAAGAGCAGACTAAAACATTCATCTTCCCAATTCATACTTTGCACATTTGACAACATTTTATACTTAGTAAATATCTCTGTTCCATGGAGGAAATTGTCATAGGGCTTTAATTAAGTCAAACTACCATGACTTAAGTGACTAGGGGACAGTACATTTGTAGAGATTTGCAAACCAGAAGTATCTATAGTAAGTTTCATATATAACAACATTAGTTACAGCCTATTGCATAATACAGAAATAACCAGATCCTTCAACTAAAGGGTCAAATATATTATTAATATATTAATTCTCCTATCCTTAAACTTATCTTTCTCTAGTGTTTAAACAAATCAGTGTTTCACAAGGTGTGCAGGTTCAGCCACCTGAATAGCTACAGTGCCCAAGATGCACTGACACGAGGGCTGGAGCTGCAGCAGTGCCTCCAGCAGGCCCCGGGCAGGTTTTAGCGGGGAACACAGCGGAGTCATCGCATTGTCTGAACACCGGCTAATCACATCACCGAACTCGCACGGATCTATTTCCCCAGTGCCTCAGGACCTCGTCCATTTGATTCCGTTCGGGGCGAGGTACCCGACAGATTGAAAGCCTGACAGATTGCAAGCCTGACAGATCGCAAGTGCAGCCTGCCCAGAGCAGCGGGATCCCGCAGTGCCCTGGAGCAGCGGCAGAGCCGCCGGGGTCGGGCTCGCCCCGGGACCGCTCCCCTCGGGACGGGCGCTGCCCCCGCGCCGCGGCGGGAACGCGACTGAGGGACAGCGGCGGATCCGGCAGCCCCGGGCCGAGCGGCGCCGCTTCTCCGGCAGACAGGAGGCTGCAGCCGGGCAGCGCAGCGCAGCCCAGCCCTGCGGGCCCGTTCCCCTGCCCTTCCCCAAGGGCACGGCAGAGGCCCCCGCCGGGATGGAGGGGAGTGAAGGCGCGGAACCCTTGGCATCCCTCAGGCCGCGGGGGCGCCGCCCGCCCCCGGTGCCGCTCCGATCGCCGCGCTGTGCTCACCAGGAAGCGGGTGGAGCTGGTGCCCTGATCGATGGCTCCCACCAGCGGCCCCAGCGACGCAGCCATGGGGCCCCCTCAGCGCCCGCTGCGCTCCCGTAACGGCCGCGCCGGCAGTTTGCGGCCGGCGGCGCGTGGCTGCCGGGGTGAAACCGGCGGGGGGGGCGGGGCGGGGGGCGCTGCCTCGCGCATTGTCAGCCCGCAGCCAATCAGAGCCCGGGGCGCGGCGGGGGCGGAGCGGCGGGGGCGGGGCCCAGCTCGCGGAGGGGCGCGAGAGGGGCGTGTCACGTGACGAGCGGCGCGCGGCGCGCCCCCTTCCTCGCCCCGCCCCAGAGCCCCTGAGGCGGCGGCGCGCGGGCGGCGGGAGGGGAGGCGGGAGAGCCCCGCGGGCGCTGAGGGCAGCCTTGGTCGCTCTGAGGGCAGCGCTGCTGGCTCTGAGGTCAGCCTGGGTCGCTGCGGGAGAGCAGCAGGAACCCTTTTCGAGTCCCTTTTTCGGATCACTTGTGACTTGAGGCGGCGTTCCACGGAGCGAAACGTGCTTCGCTCGTTTTCGGGGAGAGGGGGAAAGAAACCCCCCCGCTCTCTGAGGCGGGACCCCGCTGGGGAGGTGCCAAGCCTGCGTATTCCCAGAGCGAATGCTGCGAGGAACTGTGCAAGGCTGAGTGATCATGGATGACCGAGATGTGTTCTATGTATTTAGGATACATCCCCAAAGCGGCTTCTTTTATCTTTTAAATATTTACCCTGCGTCATGCAGAGATACTCATTGGCTTGAAAGAAATGGAATCTCGGTCTTCCTTCCTTACTCCTTGTGGTACTCCTGGAACTTGTGGTTCCAGAAAAACCGCTGGTGTTGTAAGAGCCGGGCCGGAATTGCAAAAGCCACCAGTGCTGACTGAAGGGCCTGAAAAGTTACTAGTGACACACGGTGCCAGTAAACCAGCCCCCACAGACACCATTAAAAAGATTTGCCTTTGCCATTAATTCACATTACTAGTAGTTGTCCAGACTTGGGGTGTTTTGCTGCAATTGCTCCGTGATGAGCACAATCTGATTGCTGCCACTTCGGAAAGCTTTATGAGATACCTTACCCAGCTCTTTCATTTTTTTGTTCATTAGTGCTGCAGCTGGCATGGAGGAGCCTTGGATGGGGCGTGAACAGCACTTACTGCTCATGTGTAATAGCAGGGGATTTCATTGCAGCTCTTAACTACAGAATCTGAAATGAGACAAATACAGCCTTGTGGTAAGATCCACATCCCACATCCACATTTTCAAAACTGACAGTGAAGTAGCATGTGGGCCACTTGCCAAATATTATCAAAGATTTTCCATTATTCTTAAATCTTATCACCAAGACTGGTATTTCTTTTTTTTTTTTTCTTGGAACCTAGCTATAGTTTAGTGGTCATCTTGCTCAAGAGCTTGTTGCAGCCCTTAGAGAAAGATCCACAGAGTTTATCCTAGAAGGTCATAATGATCCCTTTCTTTGTCAGAGATCCCCCTTCTACTTCCTCACTTGTCACAGGGAGCTTCTTCTCTAAAGCCAAGAACTGCAGTTCATCAGGAAAACTTGTCCAAGGCTACATCTTCTCCATGTAGATTAGGAATTAATCCCATGGGATTTTAGTTAAATCTGAATTAATTAGTATAATTCCTAGGAAAAGTGTGAGGTTTGTGTTATTTCTCTTTTAAAAGCTGCAGTATTGTGTTCTGTGTGTATTTTAGCTCAAGATAGGGTGTGACAATTTCAGCAAAGGTTGAGGTCTCTAGAGATCCAGGAAGGGAGGAAGCAATATCATGACAGACATTTATGCAAAACATGAAATGCCACTGTACTGTTAAGGATTACTGAATTGCAGAAATTCTCTAGAAGGTCCCATTTCCTCAGGTGTTCTTTAGCAATTCCTGTGACTGTTTATTGACCAGGAACAGGAGAGGTGACAGCAATAACCTGTGATATTTCCTTAACCCTCAACAGACAAGCAAGACAGGCAGAAGGGGGAAATAATTTAGTCCAAAACCAGAAAATATTGACTCAGGGAGAATAGTTTATTCTTCCTAGCTCATTCAACAGTGTGCTCTCGCTTCCTTTACATTCCTATTCACTGTTTGAATGGAACATTTTTTTCTTGTAGTATTTATGATGCAATACTGTTTGCAGAGCAGGGATAGAGGGTGCTATCCCAGGGAAGCCTGCAGGGGAAGGAAGGGTGGAGCTCTGGCCGTACCTTTACAGTAAGATGGTGTGAGGCTACACTGGGCTGAGACACTTCTGAAGGAATCAGCTTCCTTTAAAGGAGGGACTGTGGATATCCGTGTGGACTAATTTCTTCTGCTTCTGGTTCAGATCTCACTGAGGCAAGTCTACACAGTGCAAATCAAGTTGTTTGCTGTTTTGCTCTCCTGTTGAAGAACTTGCAAAATGGGAAAAAACCCCAAAATAAAGCTCAAGTGCTAGTTGAGACCCTTGTATATATTATTCTTGACAGAAGGAGAGATTTTGGAATTTAGATAGATTTGCTATAACAATTTCTAGCCTGGTAGAAATAATGGAGGCTCTCATTGATTTTAGAGGATTTAATTATAAGAAAGATGAATTCAGTTCCTCAAAATGTAACATTTATAAAGTTGCTGGTTATTGTCAACTGCCCACACAATGCAGATTCGTCTAAATGCTCTTGTTCCACATGCAGCTTTTTGACCTCTTGTTCTGTAAACTGTACTCAAATGGAAGGTTTTTCCATCTTTCAATACAGCCCCACTGCTTTTTTTAAAAAAATATTTTTAAGGTAGTGGACACATTGGAAGACATTAATTAAGCACATAAATATTTGTGGTGCATTTTTCAGAGCCAACATAATTTAGTTCCTAAAGAACCAGTTTCAACAGCACATAAACCCAATTGTTTGCTTTTGGTTCAGGTTTTTTTAGTTTCAGTTTGATTTTTTGTCTTTAATCTCAGCAGAGTTAAGTTGGCAATTCCGTTCTGCTCTTCTTGGCTAATTCTTCTTTAGTGACCTCAAGCTAAGGACAAAATGTGACCGTGTCAGGCTACTCCAAGCATGTGATACAGTGTGAATTAAAGAGTGGGTGCCAGAGGTCCGTGTCTTTCCCTTCTGCTCCTCGGTGCCAGAGAGGGCTCGGCCATCAAACCCTGCACTTCCTTACAGATGAGGGATCCTTGGGCTCCCCCAGCAGGAACAGAGGGCACGTATTTGGAGCTGGGCTGGAACAGGTGGAGTTGTGACGTGTCCAGGGCACCGGGGTAACGAGTCACGCTGCCCCTTGCACCCTTTTGCCTACTGGGAAGATGAGTGGTATGTGTGAGGGTGCCTGGCCTGCACAAGTGGATAAACTCTCTTGCTCTGGAGCAGGGAGCCAGCACAAACAGATTGTGACCTTGGCTGCCAGTGCCCTCACATTTCTATAGGTCATCTGCAGCACCCTTTGTGTGCTGGAAATCTTTCTGCAGATCCCAAGGAGGGCAGGATTGCAGAGACCCGTTCTGTGTTCTGTCTCCTACATTTGTTTTGGCACACACCAAACAGTACATGACAATACCCTGTCACCATTTGGCAGGAACCATTTTATTGTGAAGCCATGACTGCATTGATGCAATGAGTGTTTCACAGGGTATGTTTTACTTCTGACCTGGTATTAGACAATAGTTTTCCCTGAATGACATTTTATATTTAGAATCACTCTCACAGTGTTCAAACCCCGAGTAATCATTGTTGCAGTTGCTGCCTTTCTGGTGGACAATAAAATAAATAAATAATAAAAATAAATTCACATTTTGAAGACAACTAATACTAAATCCTTTGAAAAGCAGTTATTAAGCCAGTAAGTCTTTACAAGAGTCAGAGAATCACACAATGGCTTAGGTTGTGTGAGAACTCAGCACAACATTCCTGATGTGCAGAGTCACCGAGACAACCCTTGAGAAGCTCAAAAGTCCTAAAACGTTGCCAGAAGTGTTTAGTAGTTAGACTTTGATCCTGCACAAAAAACAACACCTGTATGAAGATAAGAAAATCACACAAAGATAAATAGTGAAAAAATAAATTAATTATAGAGTGAAAACACAAGTTTTAGAATCTCAGTACAAGAAAATTCTAAGAGACAAGATAGAAGAATTAAAGCGTATCCTGTCCTTCTTCTTCTTCTTCTTCTTGTCATCCACCTTCGATAGTAATAGTAGCACTTTAAGATTAGTTCTTACTGAATGTGCACTTGTCAATAAGAGTGAAAAATATTAGAGAGAAAAAGTAAATATCTTACACGTAGTTTTTAGTATAAAAATAAGTGAACGCCCCAAAAACAGTCAGTGTACTCATGGCTGACTTGCTGTGCAGACCTCTGTCAGACCAAGAGAGAATATTGTAGATAAGAATTAATAAACAACACAGAAGAACTAAAAAACCTAAAAACTCCTTTCGTCCTTTAGAACGCAAGCTGCCCCAAAGCCATCCAAAACCTTTCCAAGCCATTAAAACAACTGAAAAACGAAACAGGTTGGAAGGGATATCAAAGATCATCTAGTGATAATTCACTGCCCATTACCAGGGACACCTTTCACTAGAGCAGGTTGCTCAAAGCCCTATTATTCAAATCAAAATGGGGAAATCAGAAAAAACACCCTACAAGAATTTTATATAGATAAAAGTAAATATTCTTGGGAATGAAAATGAATAATTCAGAGAATATAAATACTCATTAGTGGCATAGTTACTACTCCATGCTTCAAAATCCTTAACTGAGATGCTTGGTCTTCTAGCTTCCATAAAAAATCATGGCAACTTACTGCAAAATTTACTCCTGAAACTATACACTGCATTGAAGACATAAATTAAAAATGAGTTAGCTTTCTACTGTTTTCATAACAACTGTACTTTGCTAGTTTTTTTTTTTTTAATCAAAAGAGCTAATCTAATTAGTGCTCCCTAAGATGATGATAAGGCCAATTCTCATAGGCTCATTCTGTACTTTAGTCTTAAGTTAGCAGAGGCAAGGCAACTGCTGGTCATGAAGGGCATCTTTTCACATCCTTTTTTTTTTTGCACTGCACAGTGGATATTTCCAAAAATAGGCTTTTGTGAAATTGCTG